ATTCGTCTCCTGCAGCTTGGCGAATGAGTATAATTTTCGGGCTCTTCATTCTTTAAAAATATGTTTACTCTTCGGCTCTCATTTTATATAATGTTTTATATAAAATATTATATATTATATAATATCTCTTACGCTCTCCTTTATATAGTTTTTATTTATTTATTTATTTTTATGTTGTTCGTCTCCTTCCCTCATCGATATTCGTCCCCGCGCCCTAATTCGATTCACCCTCCATCCATTTCCTCTTCCCCGGCGGCCAGAAAATGGGATATTTCCTCACGTTTAGTCGTTGCTTCCACCTGTGTTCCCCCCCGGTGCTTGGAATTCACTCGCACCTCGGGTCATAAGGCGGCTTTTTGTTTGATGCGGCTCGTGTGGTTTTGTTGTTGTTGTTGCTTTGTAATTTCCCTTTTTATCCCTTTTTTGTGTTTGTTTTTGGTGTGTTTCCTAATGTATGTATCTGTGTGTGTATTTAGTGTCCACACACGTACCCACATACACATATATATCTGCACATATACACATTCGTATACACACACACACACACACACACACACACACACACACACACACACACACACACACACACACACACACACACACACACACACACACACACACACAGAGGAGGGAGAGGGAGAGATAGAGAGGAGGGAGAGGGAGAGGGAGAGATTGGGAGAGATAGAAATTGAGAGAAAATGAATAAGTGAGTGAGTGTCATTTTCTGTTGAGCGTGACGTTTATCCGTGACAGCACGTGACCTTGCAGCCTCAATTGCGTTTGAAGCTTCTAGTTGCTCCATACTAGGCTTCAGTGAAGTATAAATTGACCGTGAATTATTTTAAAGTTTTCTGGCTATTATAATGACTCTCTTTCTTTTTCTCTCAGTATCTCTATCTCTATCTCTTTCTCGTATCTCTCTCTCTCCTCCCTCCCTCTCTCTCCTTCCCTACCACTCCTCTCCCTCCCTCCCTCCTCCCTCCCTATCCCCTTCTCTCTCTCCTTCCCCTACCCCTCCTCTCCCTCCTTCCCCTACCCCATCGCACTCCACAGATCTTCCGCAGTTGAATCGTAAATACTGTTGCGTAAGAAGCCGCATGACGTATCTCGCACCTTCCCTGCCACGGTCTGTGCCACGCCTTGTTCTGCCCGGGGAGTTGTTCTTACGTGCTGTTCTCCTGTGTTCTTGTCACGTGGGGGTTGTCACGTGGGTGGTGTTATGTGCTGTTCTCTTGTGTTCTTGTCACGTGGAGTTGTTCTTACGTGCTGTTCTCTTGTGTTTTTGTCACGGGAGTTGTTCTTACGTGCTGTTCTCCTGTGTTCTTGTCACGTGGGAGTTGTGTTTACGTGCTGTTCTCTTGTGTTCTTGTCACGAGGGAGTTGTTCTTACTTGCTGTTCTCCTGTGTTCTTGTCACGTGTTCTTTCCTACGCCGCGTCGCCTTGGGTGCTGTTCCCCCGTCTCGTTCGTTGGGGTTTCGAAGGGCTTTGGTGGGCGGTGAAGGGCGTCGGGAGCCGAGGGGCGGTAGTGAGGTGTACTGTATGGATCTGCAGACCTTGATGAGAGAGAGAGAGAGAGAGAGAGAGAGAGAGAGAGAGAGAGAGAGAGAGAGAGAAGGAGAAAGGTCAAGGATTAGGAAAAACGTAGAGTGGAAAAGCGGGTTGCTAGAGAGCGGTTTGAACTTGATGTGGCATTTTGAAGAAATAACGCCGAGTTGGGTATCCATCCTTCATGAATTATTATTATTATTCAGATTCCTTCATTTTCTTCACTTATAGATTTAATCGTACGAATGAAGAAGCAAAGAGAACGCTGAGCCCCCCACCCCACCCCCCTATATTATTTTTTTTAACTAGGATTAAAATTTGACCTTTGCACTTTCAACTTCGCACGCCCTCTGCCGGGTCCTGTTCTCGTACGAATAACAGACCGCCCTGACGAAACACACGCACCAACTCACGAAGGGGGGAAGGCGGCGGGGGAGAAACGCCCGGTAGGATTCCCGAGCAAGTGATAAGGCGCGGGCGGTATGTGTTAATGAAGCAGATGGAGTTGTTAACAAGCGGCGGGGTGTTTGGGCTGTGGGCGGGCAGGTGAGGAAGCGGGCGGGTTGGGTATACTTGACACCGCCCCCGTCAGGGAGTTTGGTACCTCTTCGCTGCCCTCTCTTACGCTCTTTCCTCTCCTCCGTCTCTTCTCTTCTCTTTTTTCGCCTTACCTTATCTTTTCTTCGCCTTCCTTCTTCCCTTCTCCCCACACTCCCCTTCCCTTCCTTCTTCCCTTCTCCCCTCACCTCTCCTCCCCTCCACTCCCCTCCCCTTCCCACCCCTTCCCTCCCTTCTTTCTTCCCTTCTCCCCACTATTCCCCTCCCTTCCCTCCCCTCCCCTCCCTTCCCTTCACGTGTTACCAAGTGATGTGGAGGGTGGAGCTGTATCTGTTTTATTTCTTTATTTGTAGATTGACTTCGTTATTTATTTAGTTAGTGTTAATGAGAATGGGTTGTAGCCTCCCATCCCTGCTTAGTGTTGATGTGGATGGGGTGTAGCCTCACCTCACCCCCACCCCCCACCCTTAGTGTTGATGTGGATGGGGGTGTAGCCTCACCTCCCCCTCCCCCCTTTTTTTTTAGTTTTGATCAGAATCTTAAGTGGATAAATATCCTGTCAACGGCCTATGCCACAGGAAGCGACGAATCCCAATCAGCGTTAATGAGGGGGCGATGCATGTACAATGACGCCATTGAAACGAAGGAAAGGAGGAGAAAATCGTCTAACGGGTCGGGAAGGGCGTGCGGGGTGGTGGGGGTGGTGGGGGGGGAGGAATCCTTGAGGAGGGGGTGTCCTTGCTTTGTTGTGCCGTCAGCGCCGTCGTCGTCGTCAGGAGGGCGGAAATGCATTGCAGATTCCGTGTGTGTGTTTCTGGGAGATTGGAGTAATGGCCGGATGTCCCCTGGTCGGGCGTTGTTTGTTTTGGTGGTGGTGGTGTGTTTTTGTTTATTTTACTGTCATTGGCTTGTTTTGATTGTTTGTATTTTGTGTATTTTGCTGCGTGATTTTTGTTTTTTATGTGGATGATATTTATATTTTGTGTTTGTTTTGGTGGTGGTGTTTTTTTTCTGTCATTGGCTTGTTTTGATTGCGGTTTTGTTATCCGATAAGGTCTTTTTTTGTGTATTTTGCTGCGTGATTTTTTGTGTGTGTGTGTGTGTGTGTGTGGATGATATGTATATTTTTTGTTTGTTTTGGTGGTGGTGTTTTTTTTTGTTTGTTTGTTTTTTTCTGTCATTGGTTTGTTTTCATTGCGGTTTGTTATCCGATAAGTTCTTTTTATGTATTTTGCTATGTGGTTTTGTTTTTGTGGATAATATATATACATTTTTTTTTTTTTTTTTTCTTTTTTTTTCCTTTCTTTTCTCTTCTTCTTCTTCTTGGTTATTTTTTAGTTATTAGTATCTCTGTTTGTAGAGGGTGATGTCTATATTTTCGTTTGTTGTTCGATGATCTTTCGCCGTGTCGTTGGAGGAGGAGGAGGAGGAGATGGAAGAGGAGGAGATGGAAGAGGAGGAGATGGAAGAGGAGGAGGAGGAGGAGGCTTGGAGGTCGTGACGCACACTCGCTTTGCCCAAGATTCGAGGCGAGACGTGACGTAGAGGGCTGTGAAATCTTGTGATAACGACTTCTAAACGGCGGGTGTGATGATACTCCGTGGCGTGGAGAAGGCGCCAGCTCCTCGCACCGTATCGCTTTCGCCTTCTCGGGGTTTTGTTTTTGTTTTCTTGTGTTTCTTTTTTCTTTTCTCTTTCTTTCTTTTCTTTTTTTTTTTCTTTCTTTTCTTCTTTCTCTCTTTCTTTCTTTCTTTCTTTCTTTCTTTCTTTCTTCTTTCTTTCTTCTTTCTTTCTTTCTTTCTTTCTTCTTTCTTTCTCTCTCTCTCTCTCTCTCTCTCTCTCTCTCTCTCTCTTCTCTCTCTCTCCCTCCCTCTCTTACTTTTGTCTCAATAAACGTGTCAAGTCAAAGTCTCTCTCTCTCTCTCTCTCCTCCCTCTCCCTCTCTCTCCCTCCCTCTCTTTCTCTCTCCCTCCCTTTTCTCCTTCCCTCCCTTTCTCCCTCCTTCCCTCCCTCTCTCTCCCTCCTTCCCTCCCTCTCTCCCTCTCTCTCTCTCTCTCTCTCTCTCTCTCTCTCTCTCTCTCTCTCTCTCTCTCTCTCTCTCTCTCTCTCTCTCTCTCTCTCTCTCTCTCTCCCTCTCTCCCTCCCTCCCTCCCTCCCTCCTCCCTTTAGTGTTTAACATTACCTTCCCATGCCCTTTTCTCCGCTACTTTCGTCGTCTCCTTATCTCCCCAATAAAGCATGGGGATAGAGTGCCAGGCTGCCCCCAGTGCCACGTGGAGCGAGAGTTAGGAGACGTAGACACAAGCGTAAAAAACCTTATTATCATTTTTATTGTAGTTGGTGTCAGATCTCTGGATACTTCATCGCTCTTACTGCCAGGGCAATTTTCTACTTAATTTTCTGTTTGAATGTTTTTTATATATATATATCGTCATGTATTTTTTATGCACATGATAATTTTATTGTTAGTGCTGTTGTTGTTGTTAGTATTTTAGAGTAGAATGCGTGTTATTTTTTTTTACGCTGGGGCGTCATTTTGGTTGGTTTTGTTGTCTTATTTAGTTATAACAATGAGGATTTGTAGTTGTTTGGTGCAGCGTTTTCTTTGTTTATGTGTTGTTACCTTTTTGTGTGCGTCTATCCGTCCGTTTCGAGGGTGCATGAGAGAGAGAGAGAGAGAGAGAGAGAGAGAGAGAGAGAGAGAGAGAGAGAGAGAGAGAGAGAGAGAGAGAGAGAGAGAGAGAGAGAGAGAGAGAGAGAGAGAGAGAGAGAGAGAGAGAGAGAGAGAGAGAGAGAGAGAGAGAAGAGAGAGAAGAGGAGAGAGAGAGAGAGAGAGAGAGAGAGAGAGAGAGAGAGAGAGAGATGGATGAAGTGGGGAGAGTGAGAAAACACCCGACTAGATCCACCCTCTGTTCACAGACTGAGGATGCTTCATATCGGATTGTGTTTGCTGCAGAGCCCCGAGAGGCGTCCGTGATGGCAGGATATTTCTATCATTGTTGCAGCCTGAGCCGGTTTAGGTCTAAATATAATCCATTACTTTATACTGTTGATCGCTCGCTCTCGCTGGCCCCCCATGGCACGGGCGATGCCAACTGGGTAAAAAAACGGACGATGTTCCCCTCCTCGACCCGCGGGAACGTACACCAAGACTTTACAAATAGCGCGTCTAGCAGGTCTTTCACGTTCGTCTTGGACTGGGCTCGTACGTTCTTGGATATATTCTTGATTATCTGAACTATATTCTTGATTATCTGAACTATATTCTTGATTATCTGAACTATATTCTTGATTATCTGAACTATATTCTTGATTATCTGAAACTATATTCTTGATTATCTGAACTATATTTTGATTATCTGAACTATATTCTTGATTATCTGAACTATATCTTGATTATCTGAACTATATTTCTTGATTATCTGAACTATAATTCTTGATTATTCTGAACTATATCTTATTATCTGAACTATATCTGATTATCTGAACTATTCTTGATTATCTGAACTATATCCTTGATTATCTGAACTATTATCTTTGATTATCTTGATTATCTGAACTATATTTGATTCTTATATTCTTGATTATCTGAACTATATTCTTGATTTATCTTGAACTATATCCTTATTCTTGATTATCTGAACTATATCTGAACTATATTCCTGATTAATCTGAACTATATTCTTGATTATCTGAACTATATTCCTTGATTATCTGAACTATATTCTTGATTATCTGAACTATATCCTTGATTATCTGAACTATATTCTTGATTATCTGAACTATATTCTTGATTATCTGAACTATATTCTTGATTATCTGAACTGATTATCTGAACTATATTCTTGATTATCTGAAACTATATCTCTTGAATTATTCTTGAACTATATTTCTTATTATCTGAACTATATTCTTGATCTATATTCTTTGATTATCTGAACTATATCCTTGATTATCTGAACCTATTATCCTGATTATCTGAACTATATTCTTGATTATCTGAACTATATTCTTGATTATTTGAACTATATTCTTGAATATCTGAACTATATTCTTGATTACCTGAAATTTATTCTTGATTATCTGAACTATATCCTTGATTATCTGAACTATATTCTTGATTATCTGAACTATATCCTTGATTATCTGAACGATATTCTTGATTATTTGAACTATATTCTTGATATCTGATCTTGAACTGATATTTCTTGATTATCTGAACTATATTCTGATTATCTGAACTGTGTGCTGTATGAGACTTATTATTTTGTGGAATGGTCCTGTGCTGTGTTATTGCATATAGGAATGAAGTATTTTTTGCTATACATTCTTGTGTGTGTGTGTGTGTGTGTGTGTGTGTGTGTGTGTGTGTGTGTGTGTGTGTGTGTGTGTGTGTGTGTGTGTGTGTGTGTTGTTATGTGTGTGTGTGTTATTTTACCGTATGTGGTTGTAACTGCATTGCACCTTCCGCGTGTGAAAGTATCGCGGACTTAAGTGGCTTGCAACAGTTATGAAATGTGTATGCATGAGCCGTCCCCGCCTTTGTTCCTGGAAATTCGTCGTGGGCGTGAGAAGGGGGGTGGGCGGGAAGTACGAGGCGACCGCATTGTGTTTCCCCGTTTTCCGCGCTTTGTCACGCTTTCCTCCGATCCCGATGGGGTTTTGGGCCTTGGCTTATGAAGGCGGGGGTTTGGGGGAGGTGGAGGAGGGGTGAGTGAGGCAGTTGGGGAAACGCCCGGCCCGTTTTTTTTTTTCTCTTTCTCTGTTCATCTCTCTGATCATCCGTTATCCGTTTGGTAATCTGCTCGCTCTCCTTCCGTTAGAAGTTTGTGGACAATAGATGCTATCAGTCCTTATCACGATGATGTGGCGGGAAATTTCGTACGTAAAGTGTCTCACGCTGACAAGACGCACTTCCTTGAGAGAAGGCGACGGCAGCTGCGTCGTCGTCGTCGTCGGAGGGAGCAGATCGTCATCACCTGGCGATGCGAGGGAGAGCCGGTTTGGAGAGAGAGAGAGAGGTTGCATCATGCAGTCATGCAGAAACTGGAGAACGAGGACGAGAACCAGACTTGACGGGGGCGCTAATTGTGTCACCGGAGAGAACTTGGTGGACTTGGCATTTTTTTTTAAAGTTCTTTGGTTTTAGGGGCGACGATTTGAACTCGTGGGGGGGGGGGGGGAGGATTGTGCGAGTTAGGGGCGGTATTCCTGTGTGTGATTTTTGTTGTGGATTCGTCTCTCTGAATGTATCGGCTGGTGTTAAGTGTGATTCATTTATTTCGTTGTATGTTTATTTCGTGTTTTTCGTCTTGGTTTTTCTCTCCTCTCTCTCTCCTCTCCTCTGTCTCTCACTCTTCCACTCTCCTCACACACATTTCTCTGCCACACACACACACACACACACACACACACACACACACGCACACACACACACACACACACACACACACACACACACACACCACACACACACACACACACACACACACACACACACACACACACAGACCGACATACCCGAGGATCTCGCAATACTTTCCACACAATCAAGCCGCCAAGGAGTTGTTGTCTGCCCCCACACCCACCCGCCCCCGCCCCCGCCCCCGCCCCCGCCCCCCCTCTAGTAAGAAAGCATTGCTTGTGACGTATTCATCCTGCCGTCGCGTCGCCAGCTGGGGAAAGATATTTGCTTGGAGACGTTCTTATCTCTCGCTTGTGTCCGTTTCCGCGCTGGGAGAAGTCTCGGCAGATATCGAGCTAATGGAATTAAAGTTTGTTTGGCTCTGTGCATCCTGTATTGTGTCTGCGTTTAGGGGGTAGAGGGTCCGGTTGTTGTTTTGTTTTTTTTTAAATTTTTTAGCTGAGTCTTTTACTTTAGCAAGTTTATCGAGAGGGAGGATTGAGAGAGAGAGAGAGAGAGAGAGAGAGAGAGAGAGAGAGAGAGAGAGAGAGAGAGGAGAGAGAGAGAAGCAGAGAAGTGGGAAAAGAAAGAGCCGAGGAACATAACAGAGCGTCGGCTGTGACACGGCGTCCTTCAGGGCCTGCTGGGGTTACCAACGCTAAGTTACCCTCCTCCCCCCCTCCTCCCCCCTTCCCCCCCTCGTGCCCACGGGTATGTGTCTCCCTTTTGTGTTGGGAGACGCCCTGCGCCCCTTGCTCTGTGGCAAATCTGATACACTTGCGACCCGATGGCGTTACGACGAGTAGGCCGTAGTAGAAGGACGAAGGTGTAGTATGTAACCGCATTTTGTCGTAATTACTCTTTATATTCGGTTCTGGTTGAAGGAAGGTAGGTTTAAGAAAGAAGGAAGACTGACATTCTTGAATTGATTATATATTTTTTTTTTCCTTTACTAACTTGAATTGATAATATATATGTATATATGTATATTTTTTTTTCCCTGTACTAACTAACTTCAGTGCAAAAGCAGCCTTCCCAGGGCCGTGTGCGCGCGAGGGGCCAGAATCAGCCGAGAGATAAACCGCGTTGCTCTGTAAAAGCTGTATTTGGTGTGATGAATTGCACAGGCTCCTCGAACGGATGTGCTGTGTACGGGGGGGAGGAGGCGGCTGTTTTCTGTTGGGTTTAACTAATTTTTACAGCAAGGCTTGTGTTTTGTCTTGTCTGTCTGTCTGTCTCGTTTTCTCGCTCGCTTGCTCTCTCGCCCTCTCTTTTCTTCTTTCTCTTCTCATCTCTCTTCTTTCTATCTCTCTTCTTCTTTCTTCTCTCCTCTCTCTCTCTCTTCTCTCTCTTCTTCTCTTTCTCTCTTCTCTCTCTTCCTCTCTTCTCTCTCTCTCTCTCTCTCTCTCTCTCTCTCTCTCTCTCTCTCTCTCTCTCTCTCTCTCTCTCTTTGCCCTAGAAATCAGGCACTGCATTTACCTTTCATCTGAATGATATCTGATTTATTTTCTTGTGTAAAGTTAACTGGTTCCATGCTTTCACTATCGGCATCTGGGAAATGTTATGGATCTCTAAGTTAATAAATCTTCGCCTCTGAGTAGGTCATGCAGCATTGATCAGTACCGGGCACTGGGTACTCCTCGAGGGCCCTTTAAGTGGCACTCCAAGGTGGCGCAGCGACCGTGGCCAGACCACAACAACCCGACGCAAGAAAAACACCATCCAGTAAATATTTAGCTCGGTGCTACGTCTTCTGTTACCTTGTATTTACGCAGCGGTCATTTAATGTTTGTGGCTGAAGGCTTCTCTTCGATTTCGGAAGAGGTGGCGCGGTGAGGCAACGCCCTCAGGGGGAGCGGACGTGCGAAACCCCTTGGCGAGAGTGAGGCTTCCCTGGACTCGGAAGGGGGTTGGGACGGGGCTGTGAGTGAGTGAGTGAGTGAGAGGGATAGAGGCAGACATAGACAGTCAGTCAGACAGACAGATAGACTGGACTCAGAAAGGGGGACGGGCTGTGAGTGAGTGAGGAGAGGGATATAGGCAGACATAGACAGAGTCAGTCAGACAGACAGATAGACTGGACTCAGAAAGGGGGACGGGACGGGGCTGTGAGTGAGTGAGTGAGTGAGAGGGATAGAGACAGACACAGAATCAGTTAGACAGACAGACAGACTGGACTCAGAAGGGGGAGGGGCGGGACTGTGAGTGAGTGTGAGTGTGTGAGAGGGACAGAGGCAGACACAGACAGTCAGACAGACAGGACTTAGAAAGGGGGGGGGGCTGTGAGTGAGTGTGTGAGAGGGACAGAGGCAGACGCACAGTCAGACAAACAGACATAGAGACTGAATAAGTGTATGAGTATGTGAATGCGGGTGAAAACACACAAATAAAATCAGTGGACTCGTTTTGTTTGTTAACCAAGGCAGTGAAAGGAAAAGGCAGGGCTGAAGGCGGCGAGTCGTAAAAGGGTTTAACAAGAATTGATGTCGACGCGGCCCTGCAAAAGTGTTTATGGTTTTTGTTTGTTCTCCATCCTCTGTTTGTTTTTGTTTCAATGGGAATGTAAAGTGATAGTAAATAAGGCGTAATTTGAGGAGGCGAAGGGAATACCTCGAATGGTTTTCAGAAATAGTCGCAGCTCTTGAAGTGACGCCACGTCCGAAAATAACTTCGCCCTTTTTATCATCTTTTTTTCTTTCCTTTCCTTCTTCTCTTTTTGGAAGTAGAGGGTCGGTAAATGTCATTGTTTTCTCTCCATTCACGTCATTTATTCGTCCTTTACTTGTGTTTTTTATTGTTTTGATTATGTCTTTCGTTTATCTCCCTTGGGCAAACGCATCATTTTTTTCCCGTGTGATGTGCGTGTGGTTGGCTTGGTTTCCGGATGTTTTAGGAAAATGTTAATCCGGCTTTGATGGGTATGCGGTACATAGACAGGCATGTATTTGCTTATTTTTTTTTTTTTTTTTTTTTTTTTTTTTTTTTTTTTTTGAAAAATGTGATTTCTCTCTCTCTCTCTCTCTCTCTCTCTCTCTCTCTCTCTATCTCTCTCTCTCTCTCTCTCTCTCTCTCTCTCTCTCTCTCTCTCCTCTCTCTCTCTCTCTCTCTCTCTCTCTCTCTCTTCTCATCTCATCTCTCTCTCTCCTCTCTCATCCTTCTCTCTCTCTCTCTCATCTAATCTCTCTCCTCTCCATCTATATCTCTCTAGTCCATCTATATTCTCTCTCCATCTATCTCTCTCTCTCCATCTATCTCTCTCTCCATCCATCTAATCTTTCTCTCATCCATCTATCTCTCTCTCTCCATCTATCTCGCTCTCTTGCGTGTTCATGTTCGTGTGCTTGTGCATATGTGTTCGTATGGTTATTTTTTGTTCACATGTCCATATTTGCATGCATATATGATATGCATATACATTCCTTTGTGGCTCTGTATAAGCATATGTTTGTGTACTCGTTTGCTCTTGCTTGCCATCGGTGTTGCAGTCTTACAGAAGTCGGTTACTATCACGTATCATGGCTCTCTGACGAAGGCGAGTGTCACATGGCGAGGTTTGTTTTCTTGTTCGTCCACAGTTTATTACTCAGTGTGTTATCCTTTTCCTTCCCTTTCGCGGGTTGGTCTTGCGTGGCCCGGTTCGCGTTTGCGGGTGTGCGTTTGCGCTGTCCGCCTTTGGGGTTCGGCAGGGTAAGGCACTGGCCACCTGTTTGTTATTTCTTGTTTTTTCGAAGGGAAATGACGTCCTCACCTCTTTGTTTGGAACTGTGTTGGGTGTTGACAAAGGGGGTCTTCCCGCATTTTTTTTTTTTTTTTTTTTTTTTTTTTTTTTTTCAATTTTCTTCAAAATAACACGTGTCATGCACTCTGGTGTGTGTCTCTCTTCTTCTTTCTTGTATTTCCTTTTTTTCCCCTCCCCTCCTCCCTTTCTTCACTTTCTCCCTCCTCCTCCTCTTCCACCTCCTTCTTCTTTCCATCTCCTCCTCCTCCTCCAACCTCCTCACCCACCTCCTCCTCCTCCTCCTCCTCATCCTCCTCCTCCTCCTCCCCCTCCTCCT